CAAGAGCTGAATCTGGTGCGGAGGAGGGTACATTTTCTAACTAAGATGTTCCTATCCCAGGTGGTAAAAGCCTTACTGTTGTTTTCTCTTGGTTTAACTTATTTCTTATCTGTTTGGAAGCATCTGAAGTCCTGAGTTTTGCGAGCACAGTTCTGGAGGAGTCAGTCACTCTCCCTTCCTAGCAGACCTGACTCGCAATTTGGCTCAGACCTGGACTTTAGCCTCATACTCTGACGCCTGTGGAGGAACGTGACCCTACCCTCCACCCCAGCCTGCTCATTCTCCCTTTGTGTGAAATGCACTTATAGCCTTGCTGCCTTTCCCACTTCCTCCAGGACTAAAAACTTCAGTTAATTAATAGTCACAAATAAGGTCCTGAGCAAACTCAAGGCAGGTGCCTGTCATGTAAAACTGGGCGCAAAATCCTCCTTCAGCTAAATTGCGTGACACTGTTCCTGGAAGCAAGTGGAAAGGAAAAGCATTCCTCTAACCCTCAGTGAGCTTGCTGACCACGGGGAGCAGGCGCCAGAGTCTTTCCAGAGCCAGGTTTCCCCTTTGGAAGCCGGGATTTGGAGGGCCATTACCAACCACGGGAGTGTGGCTGATCTATTTAAGGAATGTGTTTTTAAATTCAATTATACCCTCAGTGGAAATGGCCTCACTAATGCTTAGAGAAAGCATTATGCCCAACCTATAAAGCCCGACATTGCTAGACCCAATTTTGTGCATTATTCTAAAGGTTAATTCAAGATCTCTCTTCCGACTGGGGAGTTTAAACACAGCCAATGGAAGGGAGGCATCCACTGACTGACTGAGGGGTTTATCAGTCTAAAAGAGTTCATTAGTTTTAATTAGTGTAATCACTAATGTTGCATTAACACTTCAGTGAAGGAAAGTAATTACTCACACATCCACCGTATTAGATGGGAAGATTGGAATTCATTTTCTGAAACGATTAGCATTTTGCCAATTAAAAGAATCCCTTCTCCCTGCCAGCAGCCCTGTGGCCTCACTCACCCAAGGATCGCTTGAAGGAAACATATTTTGCGTCAGAAGATGGAGCAGGAAGATATAAAAAAAATTAAGGTTGCGTTTAGTCTCGGCACCTTCCCCGGGTGACAGCGAGTGCACAGGTCTCAGGGAGTGTATCATGTCCTGCTCTAATTGCATAGTTATTCAGTTCAGGCTCTTCAGAGTATACCCTTGGCTGCTTTGTAACATGGCAGCAATTAAAAAAGAAAACAGCCAGGAAAGAGGAAGCCACAGGGAAGCATCGGAGAGTCTATGGGGAACGACCGTTGCTGGGGTCCACTGGTTGGACAAGGGTCGATTCTTGCTTCTGGCCCCGTTCTGATCACCAGCTTACAGCAGGTTCTGCTGCTGGGCATGGAGGGCATCATGCTGCCCACAGGGGCTCCCTAAAGCACACAGCTGGGTCCCTTGGGTGTTCCTGCTAATATGCACTGTGCACTGGGTGCCATCTCAGAGCCTCAGCGTGGCTGACAAGGCCTGGGCAATATGGTCCACCATCTCTCCATCTCCACCAGATTCCCTATGTGCCACTTGGGACTTCTTGTTACTTCCTGAACATCCATGTTCTTTCCTACCCAGCTCCTTCAAACGTGCCGTCCTACCTGTCAGCAAGCCCTTTGCCTGTTCTGCTAGAGAATTCACCCTTTACGCTTCCATCAATTTACATGTCACCTCACACTGGCTAGGATAGCTACCTCCCCCATGTGGTGCTCTCAGAGACCCTGGTGCACCCTGCATTTTTGAACTGTTTTAGGAAACACACAATCAAAGTGAGCTGGTGAGGCAGGAACAAGGAGCTAAATCTGTTCAGTGTTTGCAGCCCCTCACCCGTGATGGGTGGTGTGTACGTAAATGCTGAATGGCTTAGTTATGGGCCTCTCTCTCCCCCCCCGCCATAAGCCCCATGAAAACAGCCCAAGAGCCCCAGCCTGTTCACATCAGCAGCATGACATGAGGAATGGATATATTTGCAGCATGCAGGTGCAAATATCTCCACTCACCCCCCTTCACTCATCTGCGTGACCCAGTACCACTTTCAAAGGGAGCCAAACCTTGCTGAGTATATCTGCTGGGCTCCCTTTGCTGGTAACTTTCTGCTTGGGTTTCACCAACGCAAGGAACTGTCAGAGACTGGAGACAGGGAGATCCAGATATTTCGTCCCACTCCCTCCTGCTAATTTGACTTCCCATCTCTGACATTAGCTGCACAGGTCAGGACAGAGAAGATGGAAAATGGATCCGGGAAAGAATATGGGAAATCCCAGAGGCCATTTCTAAATGCGGATAGGACATTCTGTCTGTTCTCCCAGGTCAGCACTGGGACTGGCAGCCCCAGGCTAAGTGTGAGGTTAGGGTTTTCTAGGTTTTCTGGTGGTCTGTGCTCAGCCCAGATTGCTGCTCATGTGTGAAAGTGAGTGGATCAGAAGGGAGACAGGCAGGCACAGACTGAAGTGGAAGGCTGCCAAGTCTTCACCCAAAACCACATCTAAATGGAAATGCCCTCTCGAGGAAGCACTTGATCAAGTCCGTGATGCTGTTTTACAGGCATTCTCTCATTTGATCTCCTGACATGCCCTTGAGACAAATATTTTGCCAATGAGAGAACTGACTTCAGGCTGCTGTCCAGGTAAACAGTGAAACAGCCTCGAGTCGTTTGACCTCCAGCCTGTGATCTTCCTGGTGTATGATCTGTCACCGTTAACAGATCTGGGCTCCATTCCCAGCTGCAGCCCTTATGAGCTGTGTGACTTGGGCAAGGGACTCTCTCTGTGTCTATGTTTCTTCATCTATAAGACAAACATAAAATGTTTCTCTCTTGTTTGTTGCAAAGACTGGGAGAGAGTGGCCTTCTCTGAGACTGGAAGCGGGAGACCTTTTGGGTTTTTCCTAAGAGCCCAAGACCAGGTCCTCTTGAGCATAGAAGAGTTTGTGTAGGAGATTGGTAAGAGAGGTGGGAAAAATTACGGGAAAGACGTAAACGTTCTTGGAAGGCTGGGAGGTTTGCCTCTTTCCTGTAATTTTTCCCACTACCCTGACCGATCTCCTACAAGGTTCCCTGCCTACCGGGCCAGCAGGTAGTGCAATGACCATGGGAGGATCCTGACTCTGGCTGTTTAAAGGTGTGGGCCCCCGGCTTCCTGCATGATCTCAGGGAAGGGGAGAAGCCCTCCCCCAACCCAATGACTAAATGGTCCATGCCACCAGCAGGCGGGTAAGGACAAAGCCAGATTTAATTTTATTTTTTTAAGGAAATTGATCTTTTCTGTGAAAAAGTAAATGAAATATTCAAAACATACCTCCTTCCATAGTATGTATCACTCGGTAAGTCAGACCCATCACTAGCGGGATTCTGGAACACAGCTTGTTCCTGCATAGCTGAAGATCCACTGTCTCCCTTGGGAAAGGGGGACCGGGTGGGGTTGCAGGATGGAGGACAGCAGACTGCCCAGCAGCTGCCATCCAGGGGCGGGAAGGGTGCTACTGGAAGAGCCCCTGTAGATCACACTGCTCGGGGGAGAATGCAGAAACAAGCAGATGGAACTAACAAGAGCAGAGGAGAGCCAATCTGGCCCCTGCCTCCTCCAGGCCACCTCTATCACTAGGGTGACCATCCCAGTGCACTGTGTGCTCGGGTGTGCCATGAGCATGTGTGTGTGCATGCATGTGTATTGCGTGCATGACTGTGCATATTTGTGTGTGTGTGTGTGTCCTGAATGCCCTAAAGAAGGGAAGCTAGCTGGCTCACTATTAGCCCCAGGGAGCCAGGGTACACAGGAACTCTGGCAGCAACAGTGCCAAGTGACCTTCACCCCTACCCTCTGGACTTTGGGAATGAACTGAAGCAGGGCAAGGAGGCAAGTGCCCAAAGGCATCTGAAGTCTGGAAAGTATTTGGAAAGTGAGGGCAGAAGGGACACTCCCTACCTGAGTTCAGCCTAGGAAAGGGCTGCCAGGTGAGCGACTCATGCCTGGAGTGCACCGAAGAGCTGCCGCCTCCCCTAGCGACCTAGATCATGCAGGCTAATTATGGAAAAGAAGGACTCGGGAAACGGAGGAGGGAGCTGAAGGCATCATGGATGGGGCTGTGCTCCTGTGTTCAGAGTCGGGAGGGTGAAAATGAATCCCAGTCTTTCACTTACCGGTTTTGCAGCCTCTATCATGTTATTACAGAAGCCTGTTTCTTAAGCTGAAAAATATGAATCACAGTCTTCATGTCACATGGAGGACCTCTGTCAAAACTGTAATTAAATATAAGTGTATTAATATCTGTGCCACCCACACCAAGAGACACGCTGTGTATTGTACTCACAGCTGTATCCCTGCTGCCTGCAAGGACCTGGACACAGCAGATGCTCAGTAAATGTCCACAGACACCTGATCAGAAGGTGTCCTCACAGCTGGGGCACCTGTGGGCCTATCACCATGAGGAACAGAAGCTGCCTGGTGCTGAGGCCCTGGGAAGCTGCTCTGGGGCAGAGAGCTAGAAATGGGGTAGGTATGTGCCTGGTGTGGTGAGGTCTCAGGAGTCACAGCGGGGGCTCTCTCCTTAGGGACTGTGGTCTCACTGCACGTCAGCTCCTTATCCCACCAGATGCCTTAGGACACAGGAGAAGGGGCTACACTGGAAGGACAAATGGGCATTATGTAAACTTTGTTCTAAAATTAATAACTATGACAAAAATAGAAAAAAAATCTATTGACCTTCATTGCCTGCACAAAAATATCAACAATATCAAAAAAGCAAAAAAAAACCACCCACAGCTTTTTTTGTTCTTTATCATTGAAGACCATCACACTGCAAGGTCTGTCCCTTGTTTTTGGGGTTTTTTTTTTTTTTTTTTTTTTTAGAAATGACCCTTTCTCAGCCTGCACTGGAGAGTCTGCTTCAACACTTTGAACGTCAGAGTGGTGGCAGCCAGGGACAGACACACCTCATCCTCCGACTGACGTTCTTCTCTTTCCTTACAGTATGTGTCCAGTCGGCGCGCCGTCACTCAGAGCGCTCCAGAGCAAGGTGGCTTCCACCCTCACCATCTCAGCCACCACCACTGCCACCACCGTCACCACCACCACCTCCGCCACCATGCCCACCCCCACCACCTCCACCACCAGGAGGCGGGGCTGCACACCGCCCCGGTGACGCCCTGCCTGTGCCCCCTGTTCTCCTGCCAGTGGGAAGGCTGCCTGGAGGTGGTGGTGCCCCACCTGCGGCAGATCCACAGCGTTGACATCCTCCAGGGAGCCGAGATCGTCTTCCTGGCCACGGACATGCACCTGCCCGCGCCGGCTGATTGGATCATCATGCACTCCTGCCTCGGCCACCACTTTCTGTTGGTGCTGAGGAAACAGGAGAGGCACGAAGGGCACCCCCAGTTCTTTGCCACCATGATGCTGATCGGGACCCCCACCCAGGCCGACTGCTTCACCTACCGCCTGGAGCTCAACAGAAACCATCGGCGTCTGAAGTGGGAGGCCACGCCTCGGTCTGTCCTCGAGTGCGTGGACTCGGTGATCACGGACGGGGACTGCCTCGTCCTCAACACCTCGCTGGCACAGCTCTTCTCTGACAACGGCAGCCTTGCCATCGGGATTGCCATCACCGCGACAGATGTGCGCCCCTCGGAAGCTGAAATGTGAGGCCGGGAGCCCTGGATGCTCCCCACGCAGCCTCCCTGGGAAACGCCTCGGACCTCCCGGCGCCGGGACTCCGGACCCCTTTTTATTCTTCTCCTCCCTTTAATTTTTATTTATTTATTTTTGTCTCAGGTATTTTGTGGGATTTAGTCTTTGTCGGCCATGGGCATTGTATTATGTAAACATCCTGTAATTCAATCTTGGCGTGGCGTTTGTCCTGCATTGCTGGCGCTGTTTTATAGAACATTTCTAAGATTTAGTCAGAATAGTTTTTTCCCGTCACCTCCAATTCCTTTCTCTGCTGCTTTCGAAGGGGATCAAAACACCATGAAGCAGACTGTTGGGGCGGAGAGGAGGCTTAGTATGAGAATCATTTCTTGTTTCTCTTTTCAGTCTATTTCAGAGCAAGCTGAATTGAACGTGTGTACTCAGCAGGTTGGGGAAGGGGCCCTGTTCAGAGATGGATCACATTTCAGACCAGCCAGACACGACTCTGACACCTTCCCAGGAACCTCAAGGTCAAAGCTGGGCTAGCCAGGCATGAGGAGATGGTGTCTCCTCCACAGGGCTGGAGGCTGGATTAGAGGTGTCATCTTGTGCTGAGCGCTCAGGTTGTCGCTGGGGCTCAGGAGTGACCAGAGGCCCACCTTCCTGTGATGGGCTCCTGTCACCTTGTTCCCAGGCTGTGCCATCTTTTCTTGCTCTGGAATCAAAGTCCTCAGATCTTTGGTGCTTTCTTAAAAACCCCTTTGCTTCTGTTGAGCAAATAGCAGAAAAGAATAGGCACGATGGGGAATGGGGAGGAAAAGCAACAGGGAAAAGAGAACATAAAATTAATCTCCCATCTCTGGGAGGGCACTCCCTCCATGGAGAGTTTTATTATCAAGTTATAAAACCCATCAGTCCCTCCGGAGGGTGCAGCTTTTTCATCTCATGCAAAAAGCAGAACCAGGACTCAGCGTCAAGGGCAAGAACTCAGAGGGCTGCACCGGGACCTCTGACCTGGCGGGCTGGCCATCGCTGACACATCTGGGCGTGGCTGACAGCCGTGACCGTGGATCCAGTATGCATTCGGCACCCTGACGCAGCGTGAACAAAACAGCCACAGAAATCCATATGGCCTCCGCGCAGGCTGCTCTCACTGATTTCGTTGGCAGAACAGTTCATCGACATCTTCCTGTAGACGTGTCTCGTGTTTCTGAAGAAAGTCAGCACGTTCAGTCAACTTTGTCTTTTCTGTCCTAAGGTGGACACCTTTAAGCCTTCCCAGGAGGACCTCTTCTAGCTCCTTTTTGTCGCATTTGTCCCTCCCTCTGGCTGCTCTCCAGACACTGCAGAGGCCAGGCACCCCATCCCCAGCGCATCCTCATGAGAGCCCACTCTCTGCACGCGTTCCTGCACTTCACCCTCTGGGCTGGGTCCTGGCGGGCCTCCAAATGACTACTTAGTTTCAGGCAGATTGCCCTGGCTGGCCATCCGCAGTCTTTTCTCCACCAAAAATAATTGGTCCCGAAACACAACACCCTCCCCCTCAACAACTGGGTCAATTCTCCAGCCACTTTTGTGGCCAACCTGCAGCCCACACACCAGAAGGGAGGTGCCAGTTGATGGAAGGTTAAATAACAGAGGGTCACAGTAATCGCTGGGCCCCTGGGGCGGACACTGCATTCCATCAGAGCCCTGAGGGAGGCAAAAATGTCACCACAGATGGAGGCACCTGTCCGATGCTGCAGTCTCAAGGAAAGGGTCGGGGCCTGCTTGTTCTTTGAGCTCTCAGACGCCCCGCCAGGGCACCAGCCACCTGCCCCCCACCCCCACTCCAATCACACAGGTGCCCAAGAACGCCTGAGGCTGGTGGGTCTGCGCTTGGAGAGACTGGCTGTCTTCGCCCCTCCCTGTACCCCCAACCCCCTTCCCAGAACCTAAGACACACCTGGCTCCAAGTCCGATGTCTTTAGAAGCCACAGGTCCTCTCCTTTGAAACCATTTGTGTAGCATCACAGGTGCTCCAAACCAACAAACAAAACCTCACTAACTAACATTCACAGGTCCTGTAACTAATATTCACAGGACCTTAGGGCTCCTGCTGACATCACCTTTGCCTTCTGGCTGTGCCAAGTCACCTGAGCCACCCTGGGACTGACTTCAGGTTATTTTCACTGCACACAAGACTGTACTATGAATAAGTGATCCTAGATGGGAGTTTTTATGTTGGTTCCTAGAAACCTTTAGGAGAAAGCATGGGAAACATATTATCTCCCATCGTCGGTGCTCCCCAAAAGGCCTTTCCATATCTACGTGTGAAGAACTGGAGAAAAAGGCGCAAACTAACAAGCAAGAATTGGGAATAGAAAATGGTAACAACTGTGTGTATTTGAACTTCATAGTTCCTGAAGGGCTCTTTCATTTGAGTCTCAGGTTAATCCTGAATAAACTAAAAGAATAGAGGTTCTAAGACATTAAATAACCTTTTCAAGGTCGCACATCTGGTGGTTAGACCACAACCAACCCAGAGCAACCGACTGCACCCTTGGTGTGCTCGAAGTAAGACTCACCCGAAATACTCAGCAGTCTTGCCAGCTCACCAGTGGACTGAGGACTTGAGAATCAACTGAGTCTCGGTCCTGGGTGAGGAGAGGGAGCAGGGAAAGACTAGAGTGGATTTGCCTTGAGAAGCATCTCTGCTTTAAGAACTAGGCTGGGTACAGTGGCTCATGTCCACAATCCCAGCACTTTGGGAGGCTGAAGTAGGAGGATTGCTTGAGCTCAGGACTTTGAGATCAGCCTGGGCAATATAGTGAGACTTCATTTCTACAAAAAAATAAAAGTAAAAAATCAGCTGGGTTTGGTGACACAAGTCTGTAGTCCGGAGGCCAAGGCAGGAGGATGGCTCGAGCCCAGAGGTGGAGGCCACAGTGAGCTGCGATTACACCACTTGTAACTCCAGCCTCAGCATCACAGTGAAACCCTCTCTCTTTAGATTAAAAAAAAAAAAAAAAACACTAGTCCACCTGGAAGCAGGGGGCCAGGAAGTGGTTGGGGTGCATGCAGGGGCTTCAGTGCACCCTGCCTTTCGGAATCCCTTTGCCCACACCCAGGTCTCATCTCAGAGTCCCAGTGGGATCAGGTTGCCTCATGCAACCGAGGGGCTAGAGTTAATGACTCACTCTCTAAGGAGAAATTGTTTTTTAAAAGAAGGCCTAGAGAGACAGCAGCACTTCGCAGCGAAAAATGAGATACCAGAATCTGAACCTCAGGCATCTGCCAGGGGGCTTTTCAGGAGGTGTGGAGAGAGGAGCATTCCTCCCCTCGAGGCTGAGCCTACATACATGGTTGACGCTGAAATGGAGGTCAGGAAGATTGTCTTTCACAATCGGTATCTGCATGAATCTGTGCCCGCTATACCCCATATACCCCATCACTGGCCGTGGCTACTGTGGACACTGTAGGAACGGATCAGCATAGTCATCACAGTAGTACCCATGGCTACCACTCATTGAGGCTTTTCTACATGACCCAGTAGGCTATGTACTTGGAATATAATATCTCATGTAATCCCATAACAACCTCAGCAAGCAGGTGCTCTTTAATGTACGGGCGGGAAAGGTACGGGAACAGAAGTTAGCCAACTTAAGGTCATGCCGCTACCAAATGGCAGAGCTGGGCCTGGGACCCGGCACGTATGGCTTCTGACCAACAGCAGCCGTGTCGTTTCTATGAACATATGGACCCAAGGCTCACGAGGACCAAGGCATGAAGTGTGAATGGCACAGAGGCCTTTTGGCTCCCCTTTTCTCCATCTTTCTTCAGCCTAAGACCTAGTGGAGAATTGGAGCTGGCTTGCATTCTGGTTGGTAATCTTTCAGAAATTTTGCAAGCTGATTATTAAGTACAGCCAGAATTAAAAATGATACACATTTACAATTAAATGGATTATGTTTGAAGCAAAGGTCTCAGGTACCTAAAGCTCATCCCTTCCTCGTTAGCTCACTACTCTTGTTTTCTGTGTTTCTGGGTAATTTGCATCCATCGTATCTGTGCGATGAGCATTTATCTAACGATGTGCTGCCCTGCACCTTCCAGCTCCACATTTAGTGAGGTCGTGCTGACTGCCCGAAATTAGCCACGGTGGGAGTATTTACACCACGGAAATTAGCAAATGCTACTAGACGGGGATTTTTCTCCCTAGAAAGCCTGTCGTTAAGCATTTACCAGTATGGTCATTCCTCAGTATCCTTGGGGAACTGGTTCCAGGAATCTTGGGGACACCAGAAGCTGAAGATGCTCAAGTCCCTTTTGTAAAATGGACAAGTATTTGCATCTAACCTACGCAACCCTCCGGTATATTTAAATCACCTCTAGAGTCCTATTACACCGGATACAATGTAAATGCTACGTCACAGTCATTATACTGGATTATTTCTTACTGTTGTTTTTGATTCCCAGTTGATGGAATCCACGGGTCTGGAACCCATGGATACAGAAGGTTGACTTAACACCACCACCTAGACATTGCTGATGCACACAGCAGGGTGGAAGAGGGGACTTTGGAAGGAGAAGCAAGGTCCCGGAGGCCGTGCTGACAAAGGCATAAGTGACAGCCAAGCCAGCAGAACAGCATATTGTTGGGAAAACAGGGACTCTTCTGGAGAAGAGACTCCAAGGCTCAAGCAGTGACAAGAGCATTTTCTGCCAAAGAGCACCCTCCGCTCTCCACTAGACACTTCCCTATTAAAGAGCACCCTCCGCTCTCCCCCGGACACTTCCCTATTAAAGAGCACCCTCCGCTCTCCCCCGGACACTTCCCTATTAAGGAGCACCCTCCACTATCCCCTGGACACTTCCCTATTAAAGAGCACCCTCCACTCTCCACTAGACACTTCCCTATTAAAGAGCACCCTCCGCTCTCCCCCGGACACTTCCCTATTAAAGAGCACCCTCCACTCTCCACTAGACACGTCCCTATTAAAGAGCACCCTCCGCTCTCCCCCGGACACTTCCCTATTAAAGAGCACCCTCCACTCTCCACTAGACACTTCCCTATTAAAGAGCACCCTCCACTCTCCACTAGACACTTCCCTATTAAAGAGCACCCTCCACTCTCCCTGGACACTTCCCTATTAAAGAGCACCCTCCACTCTCCCTGGACACTTCCCTATTAAAGAGCACCCTCCGCTCTCCACTAGACACTTCCCTATTAAAGAGCACCCTCCACTCTCCACTAGACACTTCCCTATTAAAGAGCACCCTCCACTCTCCACTAGACACTTCCCTATTAAAGAGCACCCTCCGCTCTCCACTAGACACTTCCCTATTAAAGAGCACCCTCCACTCTCCCTGGACACTTCCCTATTAAAGAGCACCCTCCGCTCTCCACTAGACACTTCCCTATTAAAGAGCACCCTCCACTCTCCCTGGACACTTCCCTATTAAAGAGCACCCTCCACTCTCCACTAGACACTTCCCTATTAAAGAGCACCCTCCACTCTCCCTGGACACTTCCCTATTAAAGAGCACCCTCCACTCTCCCTGGACACTTCCCTATTAAAGAGCACCCTCCGCTCTCCACTAGACACTTCCCTATTAAAGAGCACCCTCCACTCTCCACTAGACACTTCCCTATTAAAGAGCACCCTCCACTCTCCACTAGACACTTCCCTATTAAAGAGCACCCTCCGCTCTCCACTAGACACTTCCCTATTAAAGAGCACCCTCCACTCTCCCTGGACACTTCCCTATTAAAGAGCACCCTCCGCTCTCCACTAGACACTTCCCTATTAAAGAGCACCCTCCGCTCTCCACTAGACACGTCCCTATTAAAGAGCACCCTCCACTCTCCACTAGACACTTCCCTATTAAAGAGCACCCTCCACTCTCCACTAGACACTTCCCTATTAAAGAGCACCCTCCGCTCTCCACTAGACACTTCCCTATTAAAGAGCACCCTCCACTCTCCCTGGACACTTCCCTATTAAAGAGCACCCTCCGCTCTCCACTAGACACTTCCCTATTAAAGAGCACCCTCCGCTCTCCACTAGACACTTCCCTATTAAAGAGCACCCTCCACTCTCCCTGGACAATTCCCTATTAAAGAGCACCCTCCACTCTCCACTAGACACACTTCCCTATTAAAGAGCACCCTCTGCTCTCCCTAGACACTTACCTATTGCATTAGTGTGGAAAGTTCTCTTTGGTGGCTTTCATGGAAAAATTCAACTCCAGAAACTCAGCCTATCGGGTATCCCAATCCAAAAATCAAAACCAGCTCTATAAAGCTCAAATTTCCTGTTACTTGTTCCTACAGGTCACCCTCCCTACCTCTTTCTTACATGCTGGGCAAAATCTAATCTAAAGAAATGTTTTACTTTGAAATTAGAAATTGTAAATATCCACCATCCACAGCAAGTGGTGGTGTCAAACACCACGTGAGATGCATTACCACCAAAGTGGGACCCTCTAGAGCCGAAGCTGAGAGACAGAACACACAGGAGCCGAGGAATGTCACAGGAGGAACAGGGCCCAGGGCTTCACTTTCCTACTTGTACACTTCACTTTACTGCAACCCGACAAGGACCCTGTTCAGAATCCATAGCCTACCCAGACCAACACTCTTTCTAAATCCAGGGCCCAGTTTCCACTAGGTCAAGAGTCACTGGAAATGCCCAGCTAAGTGCCTCAAAGCAGGCAGAACCTTCAAGGTCAACAGTGCATCCGTTACTCCAGTTCCAGTGGTTTCACTGGAAGGGATGGGAGAAGGGAGGGTTGCTGAAGCTTCTTCTCGGATGCAGTTCTAAGGGAAAGGGGAAGAGATCATGGGTGGGACCCCAAAGAGTTAGACCTTGATTAAGTTTCCACTGCAAAGAGCATCATGCGTGGAGTCACCTAGTCAGATCGTTAAATTTCAGATTGTTTTGTTCGTAAGATTTTCTTTAAGAGCTGATGAGCTCCCCATTGAGTTTGCCTGGAAAATACCCAGCTGAAGACCGACTTCACTGAAAAGTGATCCCAGAGGTCTAGTGTAGATAAACATGAATTTCCCCAAATCAGGTTATCACATGAGCTACCCACCTGGGTTAGAATTTGTCTTTTTCAATATTTTCTGACAGTATTTCACCTTGAGTACTATACTATAAATACTCCTCAACCCCTTTCAGCCTTTTTTAGGGTATTGAGATAAGAAAGAGAAAGGAAACTGAGAAGCATTTTACTCGGCCTGAATTAGTGTATATATAGTTTTCTACGCTTTCTTACAACGTTACAGACAATACCTTGAACCAGCTTGGACTGCTACTTCACCTCTGCCCTGCGTCTCATAAAGAAAGTCATTAAATTGCATTTGATACTGTTTCCTTGGACCCTTCGGAGTTGTTTCTGTGGTGGGTTTCTGCTCCTTCCACAGGCTACTGTGCAGCATGAAGGAACAGACATGAAATGCCAGGAGGGGAAAGTGCCATCATCAGGAAGTTGCTGCCACATTTGACTTATGCTCCATTATCTTCCTCCCCCGTTCTTTTTTCCCTCCGTTTTAAAGTCATAATTGAATGTAAGGGAGAAGGTACTACCAGAGGTGAACAGAAGCCCTGGCAACTAACTTGCCCCAGAACGATTCCGGCATCTGCTGGCGCCCTGAGCCCAGACCAAAGCCTCTCGCTGCATTGTAAAGAGAGACACAGGGCTTCCCTCCCGCTCCAAGAGCCCTGTACCCCTTATCTCTGCTCTCCCCTGACTCTGCCCCTGAAATTTACTTCTGGGCCTATGGGATCGGTTGTCAAGGCAGCCTCCATGGTTTAATTCTTTCATTTCAGGTCACTGTTAGTTACTGGCAAGATCGGGGTTCAGCAGAGTTCTAATCCTATTGCCTGTCAATTCACTTTAACCTCAATCTTCCTCCCTGCCGCCTTACTCCCAGGGCCTGTTTCCTGCTCTCACAAAGGCTTATCGCAAATGCCTTGAGTTGATCTGAGTGATCAAAACTGACCACACGGCCAGCATGAATATTCATGAGGCAGCGGACTACTCAGGCCAAGTCCTTTCTCGGGACTATTCTGCACCCCCCATAGTGTCCCAGATACTCACCTCTTCCCTCAAAATACCTTCAAAGACCTGCACTATGGTCGCTCAGTGCTGGAGACAGATTTCCCTGAAAGGGAGAAAGTGGCCCTCCTGAAACTAAGCAGGGGAAGAGAGGCCCCCACTCAAACCCAATCCTGGTGTAACCTGGTTCCAGGACAGGATCGGGCTCAGCTCCCTCCCCAGATTGGATGTGCCTGAGCTTCTTGGGCTCTCACTCACCCAAGATTGGGACAATGGCCCTGGGGCACAGTAAGCTCGTTCAAGTAAATATCAGACCCAAAGAGTTCTGCAGAGAGCCATTTATTAGGGAGAGAAAGAGGAGAGGAGAGAGGAGAGAAGAGAGGAGAGAGAGGAGAGAGAGAGAGGGGAGGGGGAGAGAGAGAAGAGAGAGCGAGAGAGGAGGGGGAAGAGGGGGGAGAGAGGAGAGAGAGGGGGAGAGGGGGAGAGGGAGAGAGGGGAGAGAGAGAGAGAGGAGGGGGAGAGAGAGAAGAGAGAGCGAGAGAGGAGGGGGAAGAGGGGCGGAGAGAGGAGAGAGAGAGGGGGAGAGAGAGAGAGGGGAGAGAGAGAGGAGGGGGAGAGAGGAGAGAGAGAGAGAGGGGAGGGGGCAGAGAGAGAGAAGAGAGGAGAGAGAGGGGAGAGAGAGAGGGGGGAAGGGGAGAGAGAGAGAGGAGAGAGCAAGAGAGAGAGAGAGAGAGAGGGGGGAGAGAGAGAGAGGAGAGAGAGAGGGGGGAAGGGGGGGAGAGAGAGAAGAGAGCGAGAGAGAGAGAGAGAGAGAGAGAGAGGGAGGGGCAGAGAGAGAGAAGAGAGGGAGAGAGAGGGCAGAGAGAGAGGGGGGGAAGGGGAGAGAGAGAGAGGAGAGAGAGAGAGAGAGAGGAGAGAGAGAGAGAGGAGAGAGAGGAGAGAGAGGGGGGGGGGGGGAGAGAGAGAGAGAGGGCTCTCCCACACTGTTGTGGGAGGGGATCCCAGAGAGTGAAATCCCTATGGGCAGTGAGGGAGAGACAGCCCCCCCCCCGCCCCCCGCCCCCCCCCCCCCCCCCCCCCCCCCCCCCCCCCCGTTACCGTCAGAGGCTATCCAGACATGGAGTCCACATAGGTTAGGGAGTAGCGGGGATTTTAACCCCAGAGTTTCTCCCGCCCCATTCAAGTTCCCATCCAGTGAGAGGAGCTTTTCCAAACTTGCTCTGGAGTGATTGATTTTCGACTCTGATATTGGATTGGTTGATTTTCGACTCTGATATTGGATTGGTTGCCTGGCCCACAATCAAAGCCTCCTCCCTCAGAGCTTTTGGTGGGCTTTCTAAACGAAGGACGCTCACCTGGGCTTTCTAAACGAAGGGCGCTCACCTGGGCTTTCTCCCAGCCCAGGCACAGGAAAGTTAGACAAAGAATTCCAAGTTCCCCGATCACTGGAAGTTTCTGCCTTTGAAACCACACCCCTTGTGGACACGGTTTTCCTTGACACAACCCCTCACTGAGATCCAGGGTTCAGTGTGCTTCAGAATTACCTGGAGAAGTTGATTTCTAAGCCCCAGAACCAGAGACTGGGATTCAGGAGGTCCAGAGTGGAGGCCGGCATCTGATTTTTAATAGTCTCCATCGAGAGATTCTGCTGGTTATTTGGCTGAACTCTAGGTTCTTAAATTTAGAGCCAGGGGTCTGGTGAGACAGTGGCCACAAGAAACAAAGAAGCAGGTAAAGTCACCTGAAGAAGGGAGCCGGTACTTCTGCGAGAGGAAGGCAGGAAAGTCACTGGGAATGGCCACAGTGACATTCTGATGGAGAAGCAAGAAAATCGTAACTGGAGTCCAGAGAAGGGAGCAGAGTGGAATCAGGTAGGAGGTCCCTGGCACCCAGTGCTAGCGGGGACACTAGGGTTCTGTCATTTGGGCATAGGAGGGAAAGGCGGAGGCGTCAGAGGAGCAAGAGGGTCATCCTGGCAGATCCAGACCCAGGACCTCATCAGCATGACAGATGGACTGGGGCTGGCTCTGAGGCCAACGTGGTACAGTCCCACTGCTGAGTGTCACAGTCACAGCCCCCACAGCTGCGTGCTGATTAGGTGTCTGTGTATAGCTTCCTGTGAGTACAACATGGGCTTAGTCTATAAATCCCTGCCGGGTTGGGATGGTGGTAATTCATATTTAAATCTCTGCCCCCAGCCTTGACAGGGAGCTACCTAGCAAATCTCTGGGGAGGCATTTATTCATCCTGCAAATCTCCCCTGGCCGCCTGAGCAGGGGGTCCCCATGTCGGGGGTCACCATGTCGGGGGTCCCATGTCAGGGGGTCCCCATGTCGGGGGTCACCATGTCGGGGGTCCCCATGTCAGGGGGTCGCCATGTCGGGGGGGTCGCCATGTCGGGGGTCACCATGTCGGTGGTCACCATGTCGGGGGTCACCATGTCAGGGGGTCGCCATGTCGGGGGTTCCCCATGTCAGGGGGTCGCCATGTCGGGGGTCACCATGTCGGGGGTCCCCATGTCGGGGGGTCCCCATGTCGGGGGGGTCCCCATGTCGGGGGGTCGCCATGTCGGGGGTCGCCGTGTCGGGGGTCGCCGTGTCGGGGGTCGCCGTGTCAGGGGGTCCCCATGTCGGGGGGGTCGCCATGTCGGGGGGTCGCCATGTCGGGGGTCGCCGTGTCGGGGGTCCCCATGTCGGGGGTCACCATGTCGGGGGTCCCCATGTCAGGGGGTCACCATTTCGGGGGGTCACCATGTCGGGGGTCACCATGTCGGGGGGGGTCACCATTCCATGGGTCACCATGTCAGGGCCCTCCGAGGGGAATGTGAATGATCAGACCTCTTTCTCTGGAAGCTCAAAGCTAAGGCCTGTGTAAGCCTTGCCTACAGGGTGAGGGAGAAGAAAATCTCTGAACTAGTTCCTTATTAGCCTAGAGGTAGACAAGACGGACTGTGCGCTCTCTGCAAGGGGCCAATGGGAAAAGCATATACTAAGTATCAAAGTTGGAGCTTTGATTACCACCCATTTAGGAAGTAACTGAATCTTCCATCCTCTCTGCCTCTTCCTTGATTCCAAATCAACTTCTATTAGTACACAGGAGGCGGACATTTCTTGATTTTTAGATTTGACTTTACAGACAATTCTGGGAATTGCAGCTTTTAAAAATAAAACAGAAAAGGAAGCACCCCAAAACACTGAAATGCTTCCAGGGCTTTCCAAGGTGAGCCCACCACCCACCTCGTGGTGCTACAAATAGTGACAAAATCTAGGCCAATCAGCAAAACTCAAGGAAGTTCTCCTGAAAGGCTGTGTGTATTTCCTGAACACCCAGCTCTGCACCTTCACCAACCAGGAAAGGTGCTCTATTGAAAAAAAGGAAAAAAAAAACAACCATGATCACGGCCGGGCACCGTGGCTCATGCCTGTCATCTCAGCACTTTGGGAAGCCGGACCTGAGGTCAGGAGTTCAAGACCAGCCTGGCCGACGTAGTAAAACCTCATCTCTACCAAAAATACCAAAATAAGCTGGACGTGGAGCCTGAGGCAGGAGAGTCTCTTGAACCTGGGCGGCGGAGGTTGCGGTGACCAAGATCATGCCACTGCACTCCAGCCTGGGTGACAGAGCGAGACTCCATCTCAAAACAAGCAAACAAACAAATCATAACCGCAGGAGATAATTTAGAGAGGTGGCAAAGTCTGAGGATGAGGCACAGCCGGGGATGGGCATAGTTCTCTAGAGGAAAGAGGGCAGAGAATAAGCTTCCTTGGTAAAATAAAGGACACCTAGTTAAATTTAAATTGTATATAAACAACGATAACAACACAATTTAGTGTAAATATAGTCCGTTAAATATTTGGGACATATTTATGCTAAAAAAGGACTTAATATTTTAACTGAAATTCAAATCTAACAGGGCGTCCTCTATTTTTATCTGTGGAATCTGGCCAACCTAGGAGAAAAGAGTCCACAAAATGCACTGGTTTCATTGTGGGCACAGGTGCTGGTTATCTGAAGTACGCAAGCAGAAGGGATAGTTCCCCCTGCCATGCCAACTGTGCCCCTAACTTGAAGGTGTGGCCAAATACCTTCAGCCACGAGGCTGAAACGCTACAGCCCTGTTCTCTGTGTGGACACTGGTGAGGTGGAACCTAACTCTGAATCTTAACAAAACCAGGATAGCTTTAGATCCCAGAGTCTCGGATAACATGGGCACTTGGGCAGTGGGAAGCCATGGCCATTTAGAAAGCAGTTCCAAGTCTTTGTACACCACCCAGAAGAGGATTTCAGCACAGGATGTGTGCTTGAGCAACAAA